AAAAAATTCTCTCTCTCTCTCTCTCTCTCTCTCTCTCTCTCTCTCTCTCTCTTTAAAAAAATAAAAATAAAAATAAAAATAAAATACAGAGGCTGGGGCTGTGATTCAGCAGTAGAGCACTTGCCTAGCATGTGAGAGGCACTGGAATCGATCCTCAGCACCATATAAAAAAAATAAATACATAAAATAAAGGTATTGTGTCCATCTACAACTTAAAAAAATTAAAAAATAAAATACAACTAGCCAGTAAGACAGGAAGGATAATTATTATCATTTGTCCTCCTTTCAAAAAAGAGGGTCCACAAAGTTAAGTGACTAACAGAAGGGTAAGAGTTAGAACACAGGTGATCTAAGTAATATTGCAATGCTTTTTCACATTATCCTATGTTGACTGTTTCTACTTGCCCTACAATACACATTTAGTCCTCTATACAGAGATTTTAACTTTTTTTTTTCAATACTGAGGGTTGAACCTAGGAGTCCTCTATACAGAGATTTTTTTTTTAATATTTATTTCTTAGTTGTACACAATACCTTTACTTTGTTTATTTATTTTTATGTGTGCTGAGGATCGAATCAGGGCCTCAAACGTGCTAGGCGAGTGCTCTACCACTGAGCCACAATTCCAGCCCCCCCAGAGATTTTTTTTTTAAATACTTTTTTTCGTAGTGGATGGACACAATACTTTTATTTTTATATGGTGCTGAAGCCAAACCCAGTACCTCACACATGCTAAGCAAGCACTCTACCACTGAGCTACAACCCAAGCCCCTTTATACAGAGATTTTAATGTGCTCTTTCCTTAATTCAAATTGGTCCAAAAGATTAGCAAAACTAGGGTACTAAAGCCAAAAATTTGTTAGCAATAATTTTCAAACAGAAATTCTATAAGTCAGAAATTTCTAGTTAACAAGTAATCCCAGTGAAGGCTGAAACAAGAGGATGGCAAGTTCAAGGCCAGCCTGGGCAACTTAGTGAGACTCTGTCCCAAAATAAAAAATAAAAAGGGCTGGGGATGTAGCTCAGTGGTAGAGCACCCCTGGGTTAAATCCCCAATACTGCAACATAATCACTACTATTGAGAGCTTGCTCTTGTCCTTTGGTTTGCTGCTTCCCTCCCACCCCTCCCTTTCTCACCCCACACTTTTTTTTTTTAATATTTTTAATATTTATTTTTTAGTTCTCGGTAGACACACCATCTTTGTTGGTATGTGGTGCTGAGGATCGAACCCGGGCCGCATGCATGCCACGCGAGCGCGCTACCGCTTGAGCCACATCCCCAGCCCATCACCCCACACTCTTAAGGAACTTGAAGGTGGCAGACAGACATAAGGTTGTTTCTCATTGAACTAAGAAACTAAGAAGTCAGGCTATACAGTATGAAGGGCTCCAGGACTTACCATAAAGATCTCATCATACATCAGCACCACTTTTTCCTTTAGTGGTTTTTTGGAGGCTGAAGATTTCCTGAGCAAACCGCCCCGTTTTTCTACCTGTGCCATGGTTAGAGAATCTATGGGAAAAAAGCCAAATTTATAGCAATGAAAATAATCTATATCGATCATAATGGTGAATATGTCATTATGCATTTTTTCAAACTCATGGAATATATAATAGCAACAGTGTATCCTAATGTAAATGTGTACTTTGGATAATAATGATGTGTAAGTAAATGCTGATTCATCAACTGTAACAAATATTCCTCTGGTAGGAATATTTAACAGGGAAGGCTGTAGATATATAGAGGCAGGGCACATATGAGGTATCTTGGGCTATTTTTGTACCTGACTCTCAAATTTTCTGTGAATATAAAATAACTGAAAAAATAGATTTTTTGCGGGACACAATGGTGCACACCTGTAATTTCAGCAACTCAGGTAAATGATGCAGAAAGTTCAAAGTTTGAGGCCAACCTCAGCAACTTAACTTATTTTATTCAAAATAAAATATAGGGGCTGAGGGTATAGCTCAGTTGGTAGAATGCTTGCCTCCCATGCACAAGGCCCTGGGTTCAATCCTCAGCACCAAAAAATAAATTAAAAAATAAATAAATAAAGGACTGGGAGCTAGGCACAGTGGTGCACACTTAGTGAGACCCTGTCTCAAAATAAAAAATAAAAATGGCTAGGGATGTGGTTCAGTAATAAAGCGCCTCTGGGTTCAATCCCCAGTACCAAAAATTAAAAATAAAAATAAATAAATAAAGGGATAGAGATGTAGCTCAGTGAAAAAGCACTTGCCTAGTATGCCCCAGGCCCTGAGTTCAATCTCCAGCACAACTAAATAAATAAATAAACATAAATAAAATTTAAAAGTGCTGGGGGTAGGGCTGGGGATGTGGCTCAAGCGGTAGCGCACTCGCCTGACTTGTGTGCAGCCTGGGTTCGATCCTCAGCACCACATACAAACAAAAGATGTTGTGTCCGCCGAAAACTAAAAAAATAAAAATAAAAATAAATTTTTTTAAAAAAGTGCTGGGGGTAGAACACCTTTGGGTTAAATAAATAAATAAAATATTTTTAAAAAGAAAACAAAGCCACAGTCAGTACCAGAATGCTCTCCAAGATGCTGGAGAATCTATTGAAATGTCTCTCAATGGAAAAATATTTTAGGAAGAAGAAATGATAAACAACCATACTACAGATCTATCCAACACCCCCATCCCAGTCCAGGTTATGTCAAGATTTAAATCATTACTTGGCCTAAAGCACAACACATTTTACGTCCTTAAAATGTGCCAATGGACAAGGCTTAAAGCAGTTCCAAAACCAAACAGGAAAGTGTAACTAGCTCCATCTATAATAGGTCTGGCCATATATTTGAGGTTGATAGAAGGAAGGCTGCAAAGCACACACTTCCCACAGACTGATGGTGAAGTTAAATTTCAAATATTGATCGAGCTTAGGACCATTAAGGCAGGAAGTGTGCTGCAGACTGATGTGCTCCATCGATTTCCCCAAAGTAAGTAGGTTCTCATCAGTGCAAAATACTTGGCCTTCACTGCCTCATAAATCACACTGCACTTGACTGTCTTCAGAAATTCCTCTGAAAAGAGACCCAAGGCAGAAAATAGCAGTTAAGAGGGTAAAAATTAAATTTAACTTCAAAATAACTGAATATAATACTATACTACTTTCAAATTTAATTGTATATATTTGTAATACTTTGCAGATCAAACTTCAATGTATTTTCAATTCTATGTAAAAGCAGTTCCATGAATCACGCCCCAATTTTCCAATCTTGCTTCAAGGAAGTCTCAACTTTTCTTTAACAGAGAACTTGAAATGCCACAGTTCTCCACTATGGATTTACACATCTTCCCTCATTTCCCAGATTAATTATATTATACTAACAAAGTTCCCCTGTCTCTCATAAATCCTAATATGTAGGTATGAAATTAAAGGTCATCCAATGACAAGCATGGAAGGTAAAGAGAAGGCTGATTTTACTTCCAGACAAATTCAAAGCAGCAGAACTAATTTTGCTCAATAAGTTTTGAAAAGTATGCATTTACCTTTCAAATCAAAATTCTGTATAAGGAAGAGATGCACCCAATAGTATTCTATCTCAGACATCTGATTTCTCTAATACATGC